ACTAAATGATACACTTCAGAAGTTCTGGAACTTGGAGTCCATTGGTATTACACCTGTTGAAATGTCAGTTTCCACCAGCCAAAGTGAAAGTACAGTCTTAAAGAAGTTTAAAGAGACATTAGCATACAAGAATGGTCGGTATGAAGTCTCATTGCCATGGAAAGATGAGCAAGTTGTACTGAAAGACAATTACAAGCAAGCAAGAAGTAGGCTGTATAATCTGGAGAGGAATCTGCTCCAAGATCCATCCAAAGCCAAGTCCTACCAAGAGGCCATTAATAAGTATGTGGAGGACGGAGTAGCAGAAGAGGTACCCTATGAGCAGTATGCACCAGCAGATGGGCGTCCTGTGTTTTACCTTCCACATCATGCTGTTATCCGAGAAGATAAGCAAACAACTAAGACGAGGGTTGTATTTGATGCATCCGCGAGAGATTTAAATGGTGTGTCGCTAAATAGCTGCTTAGAAGCGGGCCCTGCATTGCACCCTGATTTGGTCGGAATTCTTCTGCGCTTCAGAAAGAATCAGGTGGGGATCATGGGTGATGTTGAAAAGATGTTCTTACAGATTGGCTTGAAAGAAGAAGATAGGGATTCACATCGCTTCCTGTGGAGAGATTTGGACCCTGATGCCACACCTAAGATTTATCGAATGTCAAGAGTTACTTTTGGAGTTATTTCTAGTCCATTCCTTGCCATCTGTACCACTCAAGAGCACGCAAGGAGATGGAAAGAAACATTCCCTGAAGCTTCAGATGAAATTCTGAGGAACACTTATGTTGACGACTTTGCCTCAGGGAAAGATACTGTACGTGAAGCCGTGAGGTTACAGCAAAGTTCAAAACAGCTTATGGAGAAAGCAGCTTTCAATTTGACAAAATGGTCCAGCAATTCGCCTGAGGTTATGCAAGCCATTCCTGAGAAAGATAGAGCATCAGATAGTTTGATCAGATTGGAGAGTGAACTACCGGGAATGCATCCAGTTACGAAAGCTTTAGGTCTAAAGTGGAATACGAAAACAGACAGCCTTGTCTTTATGATTGAATTGGACTCTCTGAAATTGAAATCAGAGACATTGTACACTAAGAGAGAACTAGCTTCTTTAGCAGCAAAGATCTTCGATCCGATTGGTCTCATCTCGCCTTTTACAGTAAGGTCAAAACTTTTGCTTCAGAGTCTGTGGACCCAGGGTGTTGGTTGGGATGATGAGTTACCTGAAGAAACCTCTAGGAAGTGGGTTCAGTGGGTTCAAGAGCTTTCAGAGCTTGAACAGCTTCACATTCCAAGAAGTTACATTGATTGGCCTTTAAGCCAGCATGCAAAGGTGGAGTTACACGCATTTGGTGACGCATCAGAAGTTGCGTATGCCACCGCCATCTATATCAGAGTTGTTCCTAAAGAAGGGAAGGCGTCTACAAGCCTTGTGATGTCTAAGACAAGAGTTGCTCCTGTGCGAAAAATTAGTCTCCCTCGCTTGGAGCTAATGGCTGCAGTGATAACTGCTCGACTGTGTATCTATGTTAAAGATGCAATTGACTGTCCTATTAGCCGCATTGTCTGTTGGACAGACAATTCTTCCACCTTACACTGGATCAGAGGATCAGCCTCACAGTGGAAACCATTTGTTGCTAACCGTGTCATGGAAATTCAGTCGCTGTTGGATCCTAGTGTTTGGAGATATTGCCCAGGGTCGCATAATCCAGCAGATCTACCTAGCCGAGGCTTATCTGTCAGCCAGCTTAGAGAGAGTCAGTTGTGGTGGAAGGGGCCCTCTTGGTTGCAAGAGTTAGAAAAGGATTGGCCAGAGGATTTAAGATCCAAGTCTCCAAATGAAGCAGTACAAGTGGAGAGGAAGAGTAAAGCTATTGGCAGCTGTGTTGTCCAAACTAGAGAACCGTTTATTGACTACACCAGGTTCAGCAAGTACAGTCGATTGTTAAGAACTGTTGCATGGATCAGAAGATTCATTCGCAACTCGAAGTTGAAAGAAGAAGAGAGACTTTCAACTCCTTTAACTGGACTAGAGATACGAGAGGCAGAAGAATGGCTGATAGCCCATGTACAGAAAACAAGTTTTGACGAAGTAGCTTCGTTGGCTAAACATGGTGGTCCCTTGAAGGACAGTAAGCTAGCAAATTTAAATCCATTTCTGTGCCCTACTAGTGGCTTACTTCGCGTTGGAGGAAGAATTCATAAGTCTTCATTACCCGAAGAGGAGAAGCATCCCATTATCTTGCCTTCCAACCATCCTGTTGTGAAGCTCCTGATTGAAGATGTTCACTGCCGTGAACTCCATGCTGGCGTTGAGTGTACTTTATCAGTCCTACGACAGAAATTTTGGTTGATCAAAGGAAGATCAACAGTCCGCCAGACAGTAAAGAACTGCCTAGTTTGTCGCCATTACCACACAAAGCCATTTATACAGAAGATGGCACCACTTCCTGAAGACAGGATCAAACCTGCACCGCCATTTACTAATGTTGGTTTGGACTTTGCTGGTCCATTGTTTTTAAAAGACAGTGGCGAAAAGGCTTACATCTGTCTATTTACCTGTGCAGTTACCCGTGCAATACACTTAGAGTTAGTGAGCAACATGACTGCGGAGCGGTTTCTCCTTGCCTTAAGACGAATGGTGGCAAGAAGAGGAATGTGCAGTATTATTTGGTCAGATAATGCCAAAACATTCAAGAGTGCTAATAAACATTTGCAGCAATGCTGGAGAGTACTTGAAGCTGACAAAACTCAAGTCGCATTGTCTGAAAGGAAGATTCAGTGGAAGCATATCGTGGAGAGATCCCCATGGTGGGGTGGGTTTTATGAACGTCTTGTGAAGAGTGTCAAGACACCTCTGAAGAAAATCTTTGCCAAAGCAATGTTGGATGCTGAACAGCTGACCACCATTTTAGCTGAAATCGAGGCACAGCTAAACAGTCGTCCTCTTACTTACCTTAGTGCAGACCCTGGGGACTACAGCGTGATTACCCCTGCTCAGATTCTCATTGGGAGAAATCTTCAAGCGTCTCCAGCTAAGGACACTCGTGTTTCGGAACACACTTCTAGAGCCATCACTAAACGTTTTCAGTATCATCAAAAGCTTGTCAATGGATTTTGGAAGCGTTGGCATGCTGAGTACCTGAAGTCTTTGATACCCCTCAAGAAATGGTTTACAGTTGGTCGCGAGATACATAAAGGTGACTTGGTCCTTGTTAGCGAAGATAACTTAGCTCGAGGTCAGTGGAAACGTGCGCGCGTGGAAGCCACCCATCCTGGTCGTGATGGTCTTATCCGATCAGTTACCTTGCGATTGACATCTGGAAGTCTTACACGTCGTCCAGTACAGCGGCTACACCTTTTTGAAGCCTGTGATGCTGATCTAGCTGCTGAACTTGATTGAACTGCCAAAGGAACTTTGACAATTATTGAACTTGATGGGAACATTATTGATCAATTTGAAGATGCACTCCCTGCATCGGGCGGGAGGATGTTCGGAACTGAAATTTTATATTCTGTTAGATTGTTCGGACGCGTGGGAACTAGACCCTAAGTTAGTCTTCAGGGGCTCGGACCCCCCTTTAGTTTTTTCGACGTGTTTTTTCGCTTGCGTTGTAAAATTCTTGTAGTTTGTTCATCATGTTTATGTTTCGTAAATACAGTTGATGTATGCAAGAAATCGTTTTATTCAGCCATAATTGCCTCAATTATGGCAAAGTTTAAACAAATTCCATGAGAGCGTTTTGGAAATATTTTAAAACGAAGTTTTAAGAATCAAAAACAGTGAAATAGCAAGCTATCCACAAAATTAGCTAATATTTTAAGAAAATGATGAGCTTTGGAAACGCGGCTTCCTCTCAGTGCATTGATACCATTGAAATCTGCGTACAAAAAAAGAAGGGAATTGCTGTGGGCGATCGCGAGAAAGAAGAATTTTATTCACCCGCATTCAGCTGCTTTTGTTACAGTTTGTATATGTAATTTGGTCCAAGCCTACCAATTTCGCATTATTCCAAAAACCGCTCGATAAATTTTTTTATAAACTTGACAATCTCGAGATCAATTGTCAATAAATATACCCTGCAAGTTTCAAGAACATTGAAAACAGGGAAGGCTTTTAAATAGGGCCTCCAAAAGAAGTAATTTTTCCCACACATTTGAGTTTACAAGTGAGCGTCCTCATTATTCACTGGCATTGTTTTTAAGTTCCATTTGCACGTACACAACTAGTAAAAAACAGAATTTGAATCAAAAAGGACCCTCGGTTACTTTCCGAAAAACTCTCCGGGATATGCTAATAACCAGGTAAAGAAATGAAGTAATATTATGCACTGAATGTCACGCTATAACGCTGTCTGATGCAGCCATGCCAGTGGTCTCTGAGTCCAGAAAAAGAAAAGGAGCTACCTCTGCTAAACAACAGTAGAAGAAAAAAGTCTAGTTCAAGTGATGGTGAAACGCAGGTATGGCTTCATTCCATTTATTTAGTGTGTTTATAGTGTCTTTTCTTAATGTGGCACAGAAAAGAAAAAGAAATAAAATTTGCGAGTCATTTCCAAATTCCAATATTATTTTTCGGCAGAATGGTGAGAAGAATCTTCCCAACAAAAATGATGATTTCCCTCACAATTACCGAAGCAGACTATTGAGAAATGAGCAGTTTAAATCTAAGAGAGAATATCGCTGGAGGGACCGAGTTAATGTTGATTCCAGTGAAAATAAATCAGCAGCCTTTGTTCCCCAGGGACCGACCTTAAGATCTGCCTTGCCATATCATAAAGTTCCAAATATGAATCAGTCTTACGTGGTGAATCTGGAAATGTTAACAACCGCTTTGGAGGAATGTATGAATTGTCACGAAGGACCCCTAGATTTGAGTAACAGTTGCAACGTTGGCAACGAAGGAGTGTGCCCAGTCATGAAAGTAAAATGTGCCCGCTGTGATCACATTAATATTCTTCGCCCAGCAGAACATCATCGAACGGGAAAGAGGTCCCCCAACTTTTGACATGAATTCTTGCGCAGGTCTAGGCGCACTTCATTCTGGAATAGGACATGCGCACTACTCGGGACTACTTTCAACGATTGGAATATCGTCTCTGTCTTCAAGTAACTTCAAAAACCGCAAGCGAGAGAGTGGAAAGGCAGTAGAAGAAGTGGCCAGGGAGTCTTGTCAACGATTTAACGATGAAGAGAAGAGATTATCGTCAACTGGGGAAGAAGTCGTAAAAGTGGGTGTGTCGTACGACATGGGTTGGAGAAAAAGAGGCTGTAGTCATGATTCCTCGTCAGGAGCAGGAACAGCAGTAGGCTTGCAGACCAGTAAAGTTATCAGCTATGCCACTCGTAATACAATTTGTCGGGTTTGTGCTGAAGCCCAAAAAAAGAATCAGGAGGCAGTCGCACATGATTGCTGCAAAAACCACCAAGGATCCTCCAAAAGCATGGAGGCTAACGTAGCTGTCGAGTTGTTTTCTGGTGCATTGAGCAGTGNCCGACCTTAAGATCTGCCTTGCCATATCATAAAGTTCCAAATATGAATCAGTCTTACGTGGTGAATCTGGAAATGTTAACAACCGCTTTGGAGGAATGTATGAATTGTCACGAAGGACCCCTAGATTTGAGTAACAGTTGCAACGTTGGCAACGAAGGAGTGTGCCCAGTCATGAAAGTAAAATGTGCCCGCTGTGATCACATTAATATTCTTCGCCCAGCAGAACATCATCGAACGGGAAAAAGAGGTCCCCCAACTTTTGACATGAATTCTTGCGCAGGTCTAGGCGCACTTCATTCTGGAATAGGACATGCGCACTACTTGGGACTACTTTCAACGATTGGAATATCGTCTCTGTCTTCAAGTAACTTCAAAAACCGCAAGCGAGAGAGTGGAAAGGCAGTAGAAGAAGTGGCCAGGGAGTCTTGTCAACGATTTAACGATGAAGAGAAGAGATTATCGTCAACTGGGGAAGAAGTCGTAAAAGTGGGTGTGTCGTACGACATGGGTTGGAGAAAAAGAGGCTGTAGTCATGATTCCTCGTCAGGAGCAGGAACAGCAGTAGGCTTGCAGACCAGTAAAGTTATCAGCTATGCCACTCGTAATACAATTTGTCGGGTTTGTGCTGAAGCCCAAAAAAAGAATCAGGAGGCAGTCGCACATGATTGCTGCAAAAACCACCAAGGATCCTCCAAAAGCATGGAGGCTAACGTAGCTGTCGAGTTGTTTTCTGGTGCATTGAGCAGTGGTGTAGCTTACACTACTTATGTGGGAGATGATGACAGTGCCAAAAGAGAAAGTCATCGTAAAGCGCTAGTTACCTACGATATCGAGAAATGGAGACGTAAATCATGCAAGTTGAGCGCTAGGAACACGTTTATTTGCAGCAAAAGGGAAGGTGAAAGGGTTGACACCGAATATTATATCCTACCTTCAGAGGTTCTTCACTTATTGCGTTAACCAAAACAACGGCCAGCCATTGCTGTTAATGGAAGGATTTTCCACCATAGTACCACACGCATTTGGAGATCACAATAAGTGCAGCGCATCCTGGTGTGGTTACAAAAAAGATCCAAAATGTTATAAGCACGGACATCTTTGGGGGAAGGATTTGAAGGGCGAAGACCTGCGCGCGGTGCTTGAAGATGCTCTTTGGCCATTTATGTCTGAGGAATCAGCAAAGAAGCTAGCCCCTTGTGGCTCGTCACAGCGTAATGAATGCATTAACAGCGTGGTTGGTTCTAAAGCCCCAAAAATCAGGCACTACGGAGGGTCTGAAAGTAGCGACTTTTGAACCACAGCAGGAATCACCCAGTTCAACGAAGGGCATAGCTATGTCACACTTGCCACAGAAAAAATGGGTTTGTCACATATGACTGTTACAGAAGAGTATACTAGAAAAATGGAAAGCCAAAGGAAGCGGAATGCCGAAAGGAAAACGACTAAGGAGTTTAAAAGGGTAAGAAGAAACTTCCGAAAGAAAAGGAATCTAAGGAAAAATTCAGTCGTAGCACGCGAGGGAGTGACATATCAAAGCAGTATTGAATTGCAGCAAACCGACAAAAACTATGTTGTTACTAATGCAACTATGACTGATCTTAAAGCAAGTCTTACTAAGGAGGAGTTTAAAGATTTCACAGAGCCCCTTCCTAAATTGAATAATGGAACGATACCCGAATTACCTACCTCTCCACACAACCTCTTCTTGTCAATGGACTTAGAGACAACGGGGCCTCTGGAAGTCTGAAATACTTCAAATCTCATGCTCCCCATCGAATGTGGAAACTGAGTCATTTTCTTAAAACCTTTTCCCAGAACATCAAATTATCAATCAGGCGGCGACGCAGGTCCACGGTATTAGCGTAGACTTTCGAAATG